ATCAGAGGTAAAAAACGATATAAATACTGTTCAGTTTCTTGCACAGACCGATCGTTTCGTGTCTTTAGACATCAATGTATCGTCACGAGCCGCAGGCTTTGATTTGGTTTTGTTTGTGTATGTTTTTTTGAGTCTCAAAGCCGTGATTCCCATCCACTGACATTATAGGACTAACAGACTACAACGGTTTGAGTTAAAATTCTTTGTTTGTGTTTTACTGAAGAAACAAAGTCACCTACATCTTGGATGCCCTGGGGGTAAGCAGATAAACATCAAATTTTCATTTTTGGGTGAACTATCCCTTTAGCTGTGGACCTGTGAAACTGTATAATGTCACAGGATGCTCATGCATCATAAGTCCACTAGAGAGAGACATTAACTAAATGGTTTTAAGATGAACTTTGTTTTCTAGTGACATGTGGGCAGTAAACAGCCATCAAGAGTGGAAGTCCATCTTGACCTGTTATTCACCTCTTAAACACATACATAATAGAAATACTGTTAATGCACAAATCAATGCAACAGCGCAAGTATAATGCAGATATATAATTCCTCTTTATTTTCTGAATTTGAAGATTTTCTTATCATGTGGCTTTTCAAACTTCTAGGCTTAATGCACTAGAGCCTAACCTTTTTGCACCAATAGGATATAAATGAATGTTTTTATATTGTAGATATACATGCTTATGTAAAAAATGTTTTACTGTTTGTTACCAATGGTAGGTTTAATTTGCACTGCTTTCCTAGTTATTGGGAAACACTGAATAAATGTTCCTGAAAGTTGTAATTTTGATTGGTTCAGATATTACAGGCTGATTCCTTCATCATAGGACCTTAAACCTTTTCCACCTGTTAGTTTGAATGGCAAATTTTGTAATACATGCATATAAATTTGAACGTGAATTGCCCACAAGTTGGCTTGTCGCCATTACCTGCAAAAGATATTGTAAACATTGCCACTGAGTATTCATATGGTGTGAATAATCCATGTATTTGTGTAAGAATTTTATTTGTCCAACTTGCTTTATCACTTATGTCCTTAAACATGCCTGATTGTTTTCAATTATTGCATTCTTGAGACTAGTGTCTCTATGTGCATTGATTGTAAATGTATTACAGTAGCAATTGAAGTGATTACGGCTCACAAAAATAAATGCTTATTTAAAGTTGCAGTGCGTAATTTTTTTTGGTTAAAAATGATCCGAAATCAATATTTAAGCAAGTACATAACTAGCCGGTGTTCGAAACTATCGCCTTCCTTTAGCCCGATTCACAACGGTTAGCTTATAATAATGTTTTCTAATTTGAGTGGTACTGGTAGGTTTTGAAATTCAAGCTTGGCACTGCGTCATTATGTCACGTCTGTAAACAAAGAAGTTGTCCCGGTTACTAGGCTATCGCATGAGAGGATCCTGCAGGTGGCGGATCGTTTATAGCCTTTTCTCACAGTATTGAGTATACAATTTTGCAATTCTGTTACAGTTTTTCTGAATTGCTAAAACACATTTCTTGAAACCATCACTCATTTTCTCAAAACCTTAAACACAAATCCAAATACTCAAACTAAATTCACGAAACCTCTGACTCTTCCATCAAAATCAAACAATCACTGCAAAACCATTTCACTTGCACTCAAAATCAAACCGTGCTCTCAGATCACACACACGAGTCAATAAAATAAACACTACAGAGCATTCATTAGACACTACAGAGAAAAATGGAGAACACAGCATCCAGAACATTACAGAAAAAAGTATATTGTATTGAGTAATCAATTTTGCAATTCTGTAAAAAAGTATAGTAATTGCAACTAAGAATATATTGTATAGGCCTGCATGTACTGCAAGAATAGTATTGTGCTGAATATTGAATAGTACTGAATGTATATATTCAGCACATGGATACTGCAAAAATACTGCAGTCCAACTGCAGAGGCCAAAAAGGTCAAATACAACTCTAAATGAATAGTATGTTACTTACAGTACACTCAAATACTGTAAGTTGTGGAATTATAAAACCAGGGTCAATGAGAGATTCATTCTGTCTCAGCATCATGTCTTTGTGCTTGAGTCCGGCCTGAAGACTTTGTCCACATCACAAGTAATGTAGTCTTTTTTGCTAGACAAAGAGAAAAAACCCTCTGGTCTGACAGATCCAGCCTTGTTAACACTCTCTAAACCTTACTCTTTCTCGCCTCATCCTCTACTTCTTACATGTACTCTTCCTCCTCTCCTTCTTAGATTGTTTGCATCTATTGTTTGTATCATCATTCATTCATCATTCACCTGTGCCACTTGTGCACTCTGAACTGGCTCATATTTTGTACAGTTGGTTTGATCACATCATTAGAAACAATTGTGAACAATTTTGAATCGTGTGTAAACGATGACAACTGTGCTTTAGTTGTGTTTAACTTTTGCCGCTTGTGTTTAGCATTTTGCAGCACAAATGAATTACAGTGTGATAAGTGTTTAAGTGAATGAGAATGTGTTTAGAGTTTTGCAAAAAGAGCCTAACTGCCTGAACGCGTTTAAGGTTTAGCAGAAAGAGTGCTTTATTCGACAAATTGGTTTAAGCTAGGGAGAATCTGGCTGAGAGTGTTTTAGCAATTCATAAAAACTGTAATATGCTTTCTATGTATATAAAATCACTTTTGTAAATTTAATTTGATGTGAAAATTGACACCAAAATTGAATGTCTTGTTTTTGGCCCAAGTGCATGGCGTACCAAAAAGGCCAGGCATATCTCATAGGTCACCAATGCTGATGTTGTTAACATTAATCATTTGAGAATAAAGTATAACAATAATAATAATTTGAACGGTTTGATGTGATATGAGCTAACCGATCTTTAGATTTAATCACCATTGGTAGCGAGATTTATGGTAATGCTTTTTTCCTCAGTTGGTCAGAACAAACGTGACAGACTTGTTACTTACTTGTTCTGATGGCAGTATACGGGGAAAATTCTTATTTGGGTCATATTCCAAGACGTAGGCTAGAATCTGTGATTGCGAAGTACAGTAAATATCCACACCGGTGCGGTGACCGACTGCTACACATACTCTTCAGAACATTAGATTAATCCGCGCTGGAGCCGTGCCGACTCACAACCCACGCAAGCTAGATAATTCCGCACGCAGCTGCAATTCCAGGTTTTCAAACAGAGATGGCGACAAAGAGGCAAAACTTACGGACTGCAGCTTTAACTTTATATGGTCCACTCACCACCATAAAAGAATTTGATGTCACATCCCTCTGTGATTTTACGTCTTAATGTAGCTATATAGCAAATGTTAATACGGTCGTAACCTGTGTGATAAAGCTGGATAAAAAAACTTTGATAGATTATGGAAAAATACAGGCATTAGGGCAATCAAAACTGCATGCATGAATCAACTGTAAAAATAAATCCCATGTTTATTGCATTAAAAATACTGCATATTTCAAATACACTTCCTCAGTGCTTTGATCGATCCACCAATCAGCCAGCTTTGTCCCTGCAGCAACGTTTACAATCACAATCTGAAGTCTCTTGATACTGATATAAGACCTTACTTTACAGTAAAGACTTTACAGAGAACGTGTGTTTGTGTCCAATGCTAATGTCTGTACTGAGACCAGCTGATGTTAAATGGAATGCAATACACCAGACAGAATTTACGGAGAATTTTCAGCTCTAGAAACAAAGAGTTCTGAAATTCAGTTTTGGTGCGATTGTATTATAACAATCATTGAGGAGATGTTGTGTGGCAAAGTAATTAGGCACCAAAGAGATTCTGTAGGAAAAGTTCAGGTCATCTACAGGCAGGCAAATTGAGCATGCATACAGCATCTCAGAGAAAGAAATCAGGACTCCTCAAGGCATCATCTTGTCATATCCTATTTCCATGCATTGAACAAAGCATCTGAATCACAAAAGGAACTTTATATCAACGTTTAAAAGTTCTTATTTGTTGTCCACTCTTACAAAGTTCTTCAGAATTATAACATCCTTTCGTCTTCATGGGAGTCTGTAATTTCACCGATGGCCCAGTAAGCCTCAAGATGAGTTGTAAGCTGAAGTTCTGATCCAGATGCAGAGCAACAGAGGTCTGTACAGGAGTTAATGTACACCCTGCAGAATCAAGTCCTCACTCATGGTCAGTGCAAATAGAATTGTGCAAGTCTACATCACGTAGTGTCCCACAGTGGGTCCAAATAGCAAAAAATTGTCGTTTCCCATTAAAAATAAGAAGCCATAAAAGTCCTTAAAATACATTTACATGAGAAGGAAAACTGCATGAGTCAGAGTATAAATCTTAATTTTTAATTTATATATATATATATATATATATATATATATACACCCTAAATATTCAGAATATATTATCTAAAAACAAGTCTAAATATGTTGTGCAGTTTTTCTTCTCAAATTTATCTTGTTTTAAGGGGACAGATTTTTTACTATTAAACAAGACAAAATACTGAAAAAAACTGTAGTCCAGAAATTTGCAGTTTCCTTCCTGACTATATTTGGTGAGGAGTGTGGGGTTTCTTAGGGTATTGCTGTCTCCGTAAAGGCGGATGAGGAGCAGGTCTGTACATAGAAATAAGATTTTTATCAGATTACACTTTTTCCATAAACAATATTTTATTCACTTTCTTGTTGCATAATATTGCGGGGGGGAAAAAGCATCAGTCCTTTCACCTGGCAGGAGCAGCAGCTGACGCAGGGTTACGCGAGTAAGATGATGAAGATGCGGCAGGTCCTGGATGTCCCAGCAGTGGGGGTGGAGGAGGGTGGGATGAAGGATCCACAGGCAGTGGTTTCTTGGGAACCGGAGGTTTGGGGGGAACGGGGTTCTGAAACAGGATGAGGTGATTTCAGAAGAGTCAGTTTTTTTTTTTTTTCAAACTTTTTTTTGTTTTACAAGTTTAATTTGCAATACATTATAGTTCAAAATAAAAGCAAAAGGATTGCACTGAGAGAAATAGATACTCTCAGATGTATCAGAACAAGAGCTGATTAGTGTTGTTAATAGAGGGTTACACTTTTCACGCCTGTGGCAATACCTGTCGTGTAGAGAGGACAGGGTCAGGAGGGAGAGGCTTGCTTGGTGCAGCCGGTCGTGCTCCTGTGGGCTGGACGTACAGTTGCAGATGCAGCCATGTGACAGAGAAAAGCAAGCGCTGGGTGAGACGCTTACTGTGCCATTTTACTCCAAACCCCTGGGAATCACTCTATTCCACCATGATTTTCGCTTGATCTTAAAATTTATTTTTCTGAGACCAGACTGAATCATAGGCCATGCACTGCACAATTGATTCCTCTTATTCATCCATGCAAGAGGCTGGTCAAATAACTGTTTTACCTTGCAGAGAGACTGGGAGAGATAAAACACATGCAAAATATTGGGGGGGGGGGGCAAAGACTTTTTCACAGCACTGTACTAAGCTTGAAGTAAAGGTTAACACTGTTGCTTTGATATCAGCTACTCTCACATAATGATTAGTACACAAAGTATTTCTGCATAATGTATCACAGAATAGTTTTTACAAATCAGTTATTATTAATAGTGATGTTCTCCACCCCTTTAACAGGTCAAATTTTATTGTGGAAGGTGATATGTCTAGTGGTTAAATGAGCACAAATGTTGTGTCTTTTTTTATTTCTTTGATGTTCAACATTTCAATTAAGCTGCCTTCAGGTGTGACAAAGTGTTTAAAATACACATAAATAACTGAAGTCATGAAGTCACTGCTTCTAGTGTTGACGTACACATGAACAATCACTTTTTCATACAAGGGCACTAAGGTTATATACAACATTTTAAACATTTTTTATGTGTTTACATTTTTAAATCTTTGTTTATATCTTTTAAACGTATTAAATAATTATTTTAATTAAATTTAAATGTAATTTTAAAATGTATTGTACATTTGTTTTATTTTATTAATTAAATTTTGTACTGAATTAAATGCTTTTTTTTACTAATATTTTATTTAAATTTATTCAATAATTTAATTTAATTTCCATCCATCCTTTTCCCAAACCAGGGTTGTGAGTTAATTAAATTTTTGCTCTTTCATACATTAATTAATAAAAATCACTATATGTGATTGCATATGTTGTCTGTTAATGAATATTGGTTTACTAATCTAATTAAGCATAAGCATTCAAGGAAACTGAACTTAACTTACAACTGGAAGTGCACATTATGATGAATTAGATGTCGATAAAGCTTTTTATATATGACGATATTATCGAAAATATTCCAGTTTACATATGACCTCTTGCTCTCCCCCAGTCTGATCTCACAGGGCACTGGGATCTCAACACACTCCATTCACTCCAGAGAACCATCAGTCCATCCACATGCACCAAACCACCATCATCATCATCTTACTGTTAAACCCAAATGACGGGGACACAAGCACACCTCCACATGCAAAACCACACAGAAACACGGACCACAACTAGGAACACAGAGGGAGTTTCAAAAGGTAGACACTTTGGGCCAAGACAAAATAAATAACAGACACAGTCAAACATGGCAGCTAGCAGCAAATGCTCCCTCTACCTTGCACTGCATCTTGCTCTCTGAGGGGATGGGGTCAGGAGGGAGGGGTTTGGTGGGAGGGGCGGGCCAATGCCCCGCCAACTGAAGAACCAAAAAGAGCAATAAAAATGATATTGTTTGTGGTTAACACACACCGCTACATCTACCAGAACACCTCTAAATACATCTTTGTTCCTCACAAGCTTTGTGAGCAGCAATGACATTTACCTGAGCGGGTTTAATGACAGGATCAGGTGGAAGAGGTTTAGTTGGAGCAGCAGGCCTGTTTTGAACCTAACAATAAGACAAAAGTGTTGCGGAGGGGGTAGTAGAGAAGCAGTGCATGCATGTTACAATAAGGAAAGTTATCCGTTTTAGGCAAGGCAGTAAGCCAAGAATAATTGGCTGACATTGTTATGACAGCAGCAGAAGGAGACTCTGTCAGACATTTTTGAAGTATGTGTTGAAACAATAATTCATGCAGGAAAGATTCGACAGAGGAGCAATGTACTTGTTACATACAGAGAACAAAGCATTTGGCCTCTAGTTTTACTGCATCTAGCACATTTTTAGTCATTTTCCTGTGGATCGATGATAGAGTCAACCAGACCAATTTTGTTATCCAGGTGAAAGGGCAGGACTATGACTATAACCCAAACAATGTGTATCAGCCTCAGTAGCTTTAATTGACCTTTCAACAGACATCTATCACCAGGATTTTGCCTCAGTCCTAGTTACTGATAAAGAAAATAAATAATCTACCACAAAGAACCACACGATACATTCTAGGGTTGGATTGTTACCAGAATGTTTGCTTTGATACGATACCAGATTCTGTTATCTCAGTATTGATATTATATCTGTACCTTTGGCAACAATTAAACAGCCTAGGGAAACTGATGAAATGAGACTAGGGCTGTCAATAGATTCATATATAAAATATTATTTAACTTATATTATTTAAAAATGTTACTTATTTTACTAGTTTATTGGTCAAATATTTTGTAGTTTAGTTCCTTTTGTTAAGAAAAAAAACCCTCAAAGAGTGTTGGGTTCATTCATTTATTTGCTATTATTTCCTTTTTTTATATATAGATAAATTACAGAATTCAAACTACTGTTCAAAAGTTTGGGGTCAGTAAGATTTTTTTTTCAAATAAATGATTACATTTATTCAGTGATTATCAAAATTGATCAAAAGTGACAGTAAAGACTTTTAAAATGTTACAAAAGATTTCTTTTTTAAATCAGTGCTGTTATTTTCAACTTTTAAGTCAAGTTTTATGCAGCTGTTTTCAACACTGATAATAATAAGACCTGATTATTGTAACAAAACTATAAATAAAATTTCACTATAGTATCATTTTTACTCTATTTTAGATCAAATAAAAGCAAACTTTGTGAGCCTAAGACACTTCTTTCAAAAACAAGAAAGAAATTGGACATGGTGACCTCCCTGTGAGCTCATTTCTGTATTTCTGTGCAGACTCTTAGTAACCCTACACTGCGTTCTAGAAGATCATGCTCCAGTAATAGTATCACTGAATGGGCCAGATGCTCAGGAGCAGCAGCGTATTTCTGTAGAGCAGATTTACTGTACCTTGCTGACAGCCTGGGTGAGAGGGATGTCGCTCTGGTGGGCCCACTGGTACCTGAGCGGTTGCACCTGATCTCCATTTCGAGCATTTGCAAGCTCCACAGCAGGAGTCCTGCGGGGAAATGACAATTTCTTCACAATATTGCACTCAAACTAATGTTACATGTTGATGAGAATTATTTGTTGCTGGTCAATGTTATGTACATTTATACCAATAATATCACAGGGAATTCAATGTTTCAGAACAACAAGCATCTCATTATCTAAATCTACTTCACATACACAAGTGTAATAGGGAACTGGAAAACTGTGTGAAAAAGACATCTAGCAGGGAGACACTTAATATTTAAGACCAAATAAAAAAAATTCTTATCCAACCAGACCTCTGGTGTCTTAAAAGTAATTTAAGAAACTCTGACGTAAGCTGGAAGTTCTACAACGCACATAACCAGAGAGGAGCTTGTCAATGACAGCCAATTTCTATGATTCAAATTTTTATTTCATTGTCATTCAAAGCCCCTGCTGGTAAGAGACAAATGTTCAGCTACAGAAGTATAGTGACTGCTACCACTATGGCTTGTTTTGCACCACAAACTGAAGCTCCACATTCACAGATACCTCCGGTTTTCCTCTTTCACACAGTATTCAATATAGGCCACCGAGACCCCACTGCACCATGGGTAAAACACAGTAAAAGAATATCATTAATGATTTATAATATGATCTATGTCTGTGATGAAGGATCTCATCTTTTATCTAACATTAACACCTAAGGTTGTAATTTCTCTCTGGCTGTTGTATTTTCATACCAGTGTTTTTTTTACAGTATGTTTGTTCTCTACTATGCTGACTTAAGTGAGATTATCTAATTGCAATGGTGGCCTGATCATCTAGTTTAAAACACATGTGCCAAACTCTTAGAAATGTACTCTTTTTATTCATGTCTGTTTAATTTGTTTTTTAAAAACTTTTATACCATTTTCAAGAAACGTTTAAATTGAATGTGGTGTAACCATCAAGTAAAAAGTTAAATTGTCTTTACACCTTGAATACAATTTCGAATATTAATAAGCAGTTTATTTATTAAAATAATTTATTAATTATTTCTACATAATAAAAGATTATGCCAAACTACTAAATAAGGTTTTTCTTTTTAATTCTTTTTAAGGCTTTTTTCCCTTTATTATGTTGTCATACCTGTTGTCTCACCAGGAATTTTATGATTTATCTTTCCCCAAATTAATTTTAATTCAGAAATTAAAAACATGCTCATCGCATTTTAAGTCATTGCAAGCTTAAATTGCGTTTTTAAATGTATTTTTAAATAAATTATTTATTAAATCTCATGTTATTTGTCCCTCGATGAGTCATTGCCGCTTTAAGTAAAGTGAGATAAATTGCTTTAATAAAGTACGTCATCTCTTAACCCCTGTGTCATTCTGTCTTTTTCTCAGTCTTACCGGCTCTGTCGGCTCTTGTTGAAGGGGGTGTGGCCGAGGTACACAAGGCCTCGTCGACAGCGGGGGAAACGGAGTGCGACAAACAGCAGTGAGACCGGTAACACAAACAGGAAAATGACCAGCAGAGCCACCTGCGCAGGATCTGAATCTGTATACAGACAAAACCAGGCTAAACACTACCACGCCAATGTAATCAATGTGATGCATTACTGAGCCCAAATTTCTAAAGTTACATGTGAATCGGTTTGTGTGTGGTACCTTTGGGCTCTCGTGCAGGGCCGCTGTCCACACTGCCACCGGTTCCAGTGTATCTGCAGTCAGGAGGAGCCCAGCCTTCATCACAGTGACAGTTCTTATTACTGTTACACACCTACACAAACAAAGAAAACAGAGAAAAATACTTGATTTGCAAATCTTAATAATGTTCATAATAATAATGTTTATAATTCTCTGAAGTTACAGTGTCCACTCCTTCCCTCCCCCCTCCTCACCCCATGGCCATTGCACTTCCTGCGGCATTCCTCAACACCAAACATGGACACGTCCCGGCACTGTTGGTCTACACATGCCTGAGAATATAATGTTACAATAAATCAAACATGCAATAAATGTAATAAATTTCAAGTACGTTTTTAAAAAGTACTTTTTTCTCCAGGACTATAAATAAATGTATATATAATATTTCATATTGTAAAATATTACTCTTTAAAATAACTATTTTAATATATGTTCAAATATAATTTCCTCCTGTGATGGCAAATCTGAATTTTCAGCAACCGTTACTTCAGAATCAGAATCAGAATCAGAAGAGCTTTATTACCAAGTATGTTTACACACACAAGGAATTTGACTTGACGACAGGAGCTTCCAGTGTAGAAGAAAGTACAAACATAGTGCAGACATACATGATAGTGCAGACATACATAGGAATAACACAGTAGGGATGTAATATAACACTAATATAATAAAAAAAAAAGAAAAATTGAATAATGTACTATATACAGAAATAGAAGTATAGGAACAAAAGTAATTGTTTAGATAAATGTGCAGATATGTTTATTAGTTTATTTAATATAAATATAACTATGTTAGTTGTGATGGACGATGTATAATTATGAAAGATTAATTGTTCAGACTGAATATAGCTTGTGGGAAAAAACTGTTCTTGTGCCTGACTGTTCTGGTGGTCAGTGCTCTGTAGAGAAGTTCATCCGTTTTGTTAGGAAGGGAACGGACATTCGCAAGATGAATGCTTGGGAGCGCAGTCCGAAAGCCGCGAGCGCGGAGCTTCACCAGGGCGCCGGCGCGTTTCCCTCTTCTGCGTCTGCACGCGCGTTTGAACAACACAGCTGTACCTCCGACTAGAATGTCCAACAAAACGTCCGAATAATCAAAAACCGGAAAAATATTGTCTGGGATGTGCTGCTTAAAAGGAATTTGTCTGTCTCTGGTAAAACTTATAGAAGAAGAATGACAAAACACAGAACAAACAAAAACAATAAAAGAATCGCGGAGCTCAGCATCCTGGCTGCCATTTGCGGCGCCATCGTGTATTACATTCATTGTTCAATGTCACATGATCCTTTAAAATGTATTCTAATATGCTGATTTGGTGCTCAAGAAACATTTCTTATTATTATCAATGTTGAAAACAGTTGCTGCTTAATATTTTTGTGGAAACTTTGTGGATTCTTTGATGGATAAAAAAAAATTCCTAACCCTAACGGTAGTGTGTATCCACCTTTTTCCTGCCGCCATGATGCATTCTAACTTCCTTTTGGATGCTCTCGTGTTCCGGTCTCCATAAAAATCCATGTTAAAACAGGTTAAAAAGATTGACTGAATTAATTAAACTTTTTCAATATGACTAAATATAAAAATGTGCACAGGTTTAAGCTGTTCTGTTGTTGGCTGCCACAGTAACAGCAAGGAATTCCTGTACAGTACTTGTTTTGCGCACCAGGAAATCTGTCTGTGTCCGCGCTGTATGCCTTGCATAAACGATGACAAGAGAAAATGAGCATGGAATGCAGTACTTAAGTTCAAATACTGTGTGAAATAATAAATAATGTGTTAAAATAATGTGTCCTCTTATCATTTTGTGGACAAAATCCGGGAGCTGTATGTAGGATATGTGCGCTCATGTGTTTTCAGTGCAGCTAACCTCCAGCCGCTTCATGTCATCTACCCATTCATTAAAACAGGGGTCACCAAACTCGGTCCTCGAGGGCCAGTGTCCTGCAGAGTCCAGGTGTAACCCTAATCAAACACACCTGAATCAGCTAATCAAGGTCTTACTAGGAATACTAGAACCTTCCAGGCAGGTGTGTTGAGGCAAGTTGGAGCTAAACTCTGCAGGACACCGGCCCTCCAGGACTGAGTTTGGTGACCCCTGCATTAAAAGATGACAGGTGAGTTACTGCAAAAAAAGGGTCATTGCGACACTGTAAGGTGATGAATCTATGGCGCCATGTGCTTTTAAAACCATTTTCATAGGTTTAATGTTATATTATTAGCTCAGAAAATACGTTAATTTGACTAGAAACAGCAGAGACCGGAAATGTAAAGCATTGTTCCAGTATGAGTCGGGCGAGACTTCCACATTCAGGAAAAAGGTGGATAATCATATAAAATACACCTACATTTAAATAATAATAAAAAATCTAATTCATATATACAGTAAAAATTAATAGCTACAATGGCTAGATGGTAAGAAAATCTCTAATAGAATTTACTAATGACTCTGCATGATTAATTATACTAAATGTACGTAAAATTCATGTATTAAATAATTAACAATCCGAAAAAGTATACATTTTATGGACACTCACCTTGTTGGGCCCACAGGCTGTCCCCTGTGACACCATGGCTGGGTCAGAAACATCATCACCCAGATTAAAATAGGCGCCCCGGCAGGTAAAGTCACTCTGGTTCAGTTTGACTGTTGTGGTCTGAATCTCAGAGTTGGAGCCCAGCAGAGGACGTTCATTTCCACCCTGACATTGGATCCTACCACAGTGCACATCCCTAAGCAAAACAGAGCACATTTAAAACAAAGATTACAATCATATTTCCATAAGATCAAATGTAACTGGATGTAAACAACATTACAGCACAGTTTTAGCACATTTTGTCGTAATTATGCTTCCACAGTATATGCAAATAAATCACAAAACAGACAGTTGGATAATAAACATTTTAGGAAACGATCATGATTATGTGAGTGCTTGAAAATCATCAGATTCCAGGCTACATGTCCTCACCCTTTCAAACACGGGATGTAGGAACCGTTGGGCATCTGGCCACAGTTTCCGTACTTATTGCCCTGCTTATTCACAGAGGAAAAGCAGATAGGTGGAGCATGGGTGGAGTCTTAGAGGGGTGGAGAGAACAGAGAATCAACCATGATAAATCTAGACTCTAGGTGAGAATCCTTAGATTCATCATTGTGGAGCATGTGACACTCACTCTGTCCCCAGAGCATTTGGCACTGCTCGTCCAGACTGGCACACACGCCGCTGTAGCAGGAGGACCCGTCCTTGCATGACTCTCCATTCTGCAGAAACACATTAGGAGGACAGTAAGGCGAAGTGCCAGTGCAGTACTCCGGCAAATCGCACTCTCCCAACGGCTCCCGACACACCGACCCGGCCACACGCAGCTGCAGGGAAAGAGATGGAGGAGATGCGGTGAGACAGAGCGGCATTAGCAGTGCATGTCTAAGTGTGTAATCATATGCACCTTTACAAACCTTGCAGTTCTCACAGCAGATGCCATCAGAAGAGCACTGGGCCCCAGGAACCAGTTTACACGTGCTGGCATTGCAGCAAGGATCATTACATTCCTGAACACACACGCAGACAGGAAGCAGATTACAGAGGTGAAGAGCGTATTACTACTTTTATTTGTTTTACAATCCTGTAGTCTGATATGTTCAGACAGAGAGTTTGCCATCAAATTCTTAATAGCCCTGATGATTGGGGGTGAGAATTGTTTGTAATCTTGCGATTCTCGGATTTTAATCGAATTTCGTTTTGATTTATTAAAACTACTACATTTTCTCATAGCAGATCAAAACTGCATTGTTGAGAGGAAAAAAAATAGATAAGTCACATCTGTGTACATTTTATTACATTCAGAAATAAATGTAAAATACTGCTACATAAAATAAAATGTTTACAAACATTATAAAAACTATATTTTCAACTATAAAACTATATAATTACATCTTAGTTTGTTTCCCTCGCTCCATAACAATCCTTTAAAGTCAACAGTATTTAGAACAGAACAGGAATTAAACATTTAAAACAAACTTAAATTATAGTACCATTATAAACAACATTTATTACAACCACAAATCTTAAACAAATTTATTTAAAGTGAATGATGATAAAGAAAAATGTCACATATTCTCGGAGAATACAGTACTTTGTTTGTTCTGTCTTTTTTTTCATTTCTGGATGGCGGTGTTCAATGTGAGTCTCAGTTTTTTTTTTTTAAATGTGCGCGGCAGTTTTGTCAGTAAACTCACTGCATAATAAATTCTGCGCAGCTCTCGCAGTTGACTTCCGCCTTTTTTGTTCCGACAACATTACATTATTAACTAATATTTAGGAAATCAATTTTTGAAACTTGTACATCGTTTCAAATTGTCAGAAGATAGAATCACGATTCATACGTTAATAAATGTTTACCCCACCTCTACTGATGATTTTTCATTTGTGCCTGTAATGTTTGCTGTCAGGAATAGTTCAACCCCCCCAAAAAGAGAAGATTCTGTCATTTTTTACACATCTTCATGTTATTGCAAACCTGTATTTCTTTCTTTCCTCTGTAAAACTATACAAATTTCAATATGTGACCTGTGCTGGCAAAATGAGTCGCAATGAGCAAATTTTTTATGTTTACAATCTCCATTAAACAAAAACCTTCAAAATGATGTATGATTTGTTGGAATTGACCAAAAAAAAATGACTGAGCTACACCCGTTTGAAGCTGATAGAGTCAGCAAAGTCAATTTTGAGAAAAATCTAGTTAAAGTTTTCTGAAAGTTCCAAAGCAAAATCACCTAGCAACATTGCATCTTTTCTTCCACTTCTTTTCTTAATAATAACTATATTAATAATCACAATATAACAATTTTTTGTTTTATCTTTACCAAATAGGCTAATCAAATGTAAAAATCACTTTAGTGTGTTCATTACAAATAAACTGATTGTTAAAACTACAAAAGCAGTTCAATCAAGAGAGCAGCGAGTGATTCCCTCTTTTCTTTTATTGTTAGATAACATTAATGAGGCAGACGGCCTATACTATATTAAGACCTACTGTAATGCACAGATCTAATATCATGTTACATATCAGATGTTTTTCCCCCACAGTTAACCAAACGTTCACGTAAGACATAACAGATTATGTTTATGTGAATACTCCCTAAGACCCATATTTTGAAATACTGTAATTCTGTGTATCGGGATCGCACACTGTCTGAGAGATGCAATTTTATGTGCACACTTCAAGATGTGGCAGTCAGCATGATCATTTTGTTTACATCAGCATGGGTTTGAACATAACATTTCACTGGTTCAGACTCATGCCATCGACAATTCGCTCTGAATATTCACAAATACCAAACTTGTGCTGAGGGGAAGCACCAGTTGTCAAGAAGCGATCAGAGAAAAAGGTAGACCTCTCAGAAAACATACTTACACATAAAGATAATTTTAGATGTTTAATTACTATTTGGAGCATTGGGATCGCTAGACGAGGGCTTAATGAACTCATTTTTGTGAAAACCTCAAATTCGGCCATCATTGATAATTTTTCACTTTTTTTGCCTGTAGCACAAAATTAACCTATGCACATTTCCACTAACTTTGCCAGCACGGGTCACATTATATTTTGTTTCACATAAGAAAGCAAGTCACACAGGTTTGGAAAAACAGGTGAGCAAATGATGACAAATGAATTATCCAATTAAGCAGTTGTCACATTCACTTGAAATGTAATTTTTGTCAGGAACCAATAGGCAGAAGGCATTTTCTTACATCCAGCAGGCCGCAGTCACACTCCTCTCCTTTCTCTACATACAGGTTTCCGCAGCGCGGACCTCCCAGAAGACTCTCTGGCTGAGGCACGTTAAACAGACACATTCCACCACCGTGCAGTAGACTGAGAGAGAGATCCCGTTCGCTGCAGCTGCTGAAGAGCTGACCGGGCATAAACCTGCACAAGGGAGCATTTACTGCATACCGCACGATTTGTCACCAGCACTATATTATCAGATAGTAACAAACACTCACCCAGTGGAGGGCTCCATGATGCAGCCCCCAAGCCGAGGCTCGTTCTGGCACTGGCAGCTCCTGTCGACTGTATCGTGACTCATTCCCAGGTTGTGACCCAACTCGTGTGCCACCGTTGATGCTATACCTAACACACTCACCAGGTGATCCTACGGTACAGGAAACAGGTTAATACTAAAACAAGACTTTTTAGTGCATAAAGACCAAGATAAAATGAAAGATTTCTCTTACCACATTCACTCCTCCTGACCGATCCTTTGAGCACATGGAGGACTGAGATGCCATGCCAACTGTTGTCCCATCAAATGATTCACCCCTAACACATAAAAGCAAATAATGATTTACCATAACTGTTCAAATCTGATAACCTGGTGCCTATATTTTCCACAATGCATCTGGTCCTACATGATGAGCTGTGCGTTGTCATGCCGTAGTCGTGCTAGAAGCTCCCTGGTCCTCCAATCCAGGAAGCGGTTTAGAGTTTCAGTGGGATTTTTATCCACTTTAATTTTGTCCTGGTCACTCCAGATCTCCAAACCCACCAGAGCTACACGTACATTCAGTGGCCGGTAGAACTGGGACAGAGGACCAGACAGAGATTTAGACAGAAGCCTAGACTCACAGTCTTACCGACCACAAAATTTTGATCAGTAGTGTACTTGCACATTTAGAAATAAAACTTACCCAGTCTACTTGGTTTGCCACATCCAACATGCGGTAAATTATGGTTTTATTATTCTTCTGATAATTCAGATACTGTGAGGAAGAAACAGAAAAAGAACGGATTCAAAACTGAAACCTTAAATATTCAGATATTTAGACTGTAAAGCAATTAAGAGTAGATGTGATGCAGTACATGTACCAGTAGAGGGCGGAAGTGTCTCACAGCTCTGTTTGTGTGCGTGCACTGTAGGTGTGAGTGTCAGAGATGGAAATACCTCTACTCTCTTACCTCTTTATGATCCGCCACCAGCACCAGCTCAATATATTTGGTCTCTGAGAGAATGTCTCTCTTACTCTGTCACATAACAGCAGAAAAAGATCATGAGAAAAAACAAACAAATACACATGCCTATAAATACACTACGCACACACAGCATGCTCACCCTGTGTGTGTGTGGGATGATCTGAATGGGAGAAATAGAGGTATGTGACACTCCACAGTCTCTAGACTCCGATGTTTGTGAATCTGTAGGGTAGATCACGTGCATCCATCCTTCTTCCATTTCTCCGCTCCCTTCCTCTTCTTTGTCATGCTTTTCTTCCTCAGGATGCAGCTCAAAGCTCAGTGTGACGTTAATGACTATCACACCCCTGCAGAGAGAAAAAGAAGTGTCATTACTGACACCTTAACTAACACAGACTGAACATCATGTTAACACATAGCACTCATTGATAATCTGTTAAGAAATACAGACTCCTTTCTCATATTTCACTAGTGTTAATTTTGTCAGCCATTTTAATTTAGTCTTAGTCTTTTAAATTAGTCTTAGTCCTATGTCCTACTTAGTCCTACTTTTTAGTTTTTATCATATTTATTCAACCTTGTCCTGTTTTTGTTTGGTCAAGTTTTAGTCGACTAAATGTCTGCCCATTTTAGTCTAGTTTTAGTCAATGAAATCTTAGTCACATTTTTTGTCATGCTGTATAATGGTTAAACTGATAAAAATAAATTTTCCTCAATTATAATCGTAATGATTGTTTGAAATTTATTTTTGCATTTCAGGAATTGCACTTTCACCAATAAGCACAATTAATAGAATGTCTACACATACACATGGTTTATTTTACCTCACCTATTGTATTGATTTATTATAGGATATTTATTATATAAATTAATATCAAAGACTTATGCACTCTCTCTTTCTACATTATGTAAATAAAATAAAACGCGCGCACACACACACACACACTAATAACACACACATAAATCTAAACAGTCAAAAATAGACAGGATATTGGGTCCTCAGAACCAAAGGCCAGTGGCTTCTGAGAATTTTTCTATTAAAAAAAATCGGTTGAGCCCAATTAGATATGAATATTAAAAGATAAGATCAGATGATTTATCAAGGTATTATTATTTTTTACATTTAGATAAATATGTAAGGCAGAAGGCCATGTGACAGAAAAGATACTGTATGGGGTTCAGAGTTTTCCTCTTGAAGTCTGGACCATTTTTACATTTTGCTTAAAACAAACAATCCAAACACTCATCATGCGCAGAAAACAAAGCTAACTAGTCATTTCAAAGTTTATTTTGTTTTTCCTTGCCATCTACAAATAATTTTCCCAATTTTAACTATCATATGTTTATTTTAAAATGCATTTAACATACTGATTAATAATGCTAAATGCAGATGAAAAAAGTCTTGTCACAAACCTGGTTTGAACAGTCAGAATCATTTGATAGGTAAAAATATATTAAGCATTGTTGCAGCATTGTTTTCTGCAGTGTTTTAGCAAAAGTATCAATCTATTCTGCTGCTCACTGTGTTTCTGCTTCTGTTTTTAAAATAACCACGTCATCTGTAGCTCTTAATGGTGCTTTAGCGTCTTTATAGAGAAGCAACGCACACAGGAAGGGCTTGAATGAAGCCCGTTTGGCTCTAGATAAAGAAAAATATTAGAGGATATAACGCTGAAAGATCATTACAATAAACGACCCTGAGCGCTTGTGGTGTGAACCGCTCCGTTGTTTTAAAGTGCTGCTCACTTAAAGGGGTCATATGATGTTGCTAAAAATAACATTATGTTGCGTATTTGGTGTATTGAAATGTGTTTATGCGGTTTAAGGTTCAAAAAACACATTCTTTTCCACATAATGTATATTATTGTTTCTCCTCTATGCCCTGCCTTTCTGAAACGCGTCGATTTTTACAAAGTTCATTGGTCTGAAAAGCGAGGTGTGCTGTGATTGGCCAGCTATCCAGTGCGTTGTGATT